TGCTATCCCTCTTCTGACCATGTTGCAATTAACAACTTACTCATCTGTGTCTGCCATCAGAACAAAAGCTCACAGGGGGCAGGATTGTTGGGGTTTTGTTTTTAAAGTTTATGTTATTTATTTCTTCCACGAGTGAGAGAAACTAAAAGATAGCACCTCCAACAGTGTCTTGGTGCCGTGATCCACCCCCAGCCTCAGCCAGCCCTGCATCACAGGCACATCCATGCCTAGCGCATTCAGGGAGATCTCCAGATTCGACTCCAAATCCTCCTCAAGTGGGTCAGCCTCTCAGACCGTCAGGTTTTTCCACTGTGCCACCGTCCAGCTCTCAGGGGCTTTTTATCTGTTCCAAGCCCCAAACCCAACTTCAAACAGCACATAGCACACAAGAGAGGCTCAAGATAAAGTAGCTGAATTAAGGAAATATGGTCCATAAAACCAATATCAAGCAATCTCTTCAATTTCCACATTAGCATCAAGACTATTTACATTAAATAGCAATTTAACAATTCTTACCCACTTATTATCAAAACACTAACAAGTTCCACAAGGCTTATAGGTCAACTTTATTTTTCTACTGCAGTTAGCGAAATTACTATGTATAGTTGTATAGAAGTAAACTTCATTTTTTTTTTTTTTTTTTAGAAATTTTTGCTATAGGGCGTGTGCGCTCGCCAGACAGAGAGAGAGAGACATAGAGACAGAAAGCGAAAAATCACCCCCCCGGGGGGATGGTCACGCAGCAATCCCTTCTCCTCCATTCTCCTCTCGGGATCTTGGGCACGCATGCACACGCGCCCGGCATGAGTTTAAGCCACCAGGTCCGGGATGTGAACCGTGGTCGACTGTGTGGGAGTCCAGCGACATAGCCATTAAGCTAACTGCTGGTCCCAGTAAATTTCATTTTTTAACAAAAAGTTCATTTCATGAGAGAAATGAGAGAGAGAGAGGAGAGAGAGAGAGAAAAAGATATCCTAAATAGAGGATATCTGCTGTAATCTCTGTCCCACCTCCTAGCCAGCCAGAAAAACCAGTGGGTCAGTGGGCATGCTCCACGTGTTCAGGGAAACCTGGAATTCAAACTCAGGTCTCCCATGTTGCCCCAGTATCACACAGTGGTATCTTACTGTCCAAACCAGGATGACTGAGCTATAAATTTCATTAGCTATAAATTTCATTAAAAAAATAATAATAACTTTTGTTTCTTTTTTTCATCTTTGTTTAAAAACTTGAGCTCTTGTCAGAGAAACAAAGCAACGGGGGGGGGGGGAAAGGGAGGAGTCACTCCCCTTGCCCCAGGAGAATAGCCACACCTCAATCCCTTCTCCCCTATTCTCCTCTTGGGATTTTGGGCATGCATGCACACGTGCCAGTGTTCTAAGACAGTGGATCCAGGACTTGAACCATGCAGTCAGTTATGTGGAAACCCAAACCTTTAACCTCCACACTGCCTGCAAGCCCCAAACCAATACCTTTAACCTCCACACTGCCTGCAAGCCCCAGAACTTTTCATTTTAACAGGCTTCCTTTTCTCAATTCTATCTCTAAAAATAAATGGTCAGTAAGGAAGAATTTATTTTAGAACATCAAATGATTCAAAGGAGAAAAATAAGCCCCAAACTTGGAACTATTCTAAGTACAGTGTGATAGGCCTGCATATAACACTTTACCTACCAGATATTATCTTTTTTGGATTAGAAACCAATAAGCTTAAGGAAAAATATGCCCCATATGTATTTTCACTTATATTTGCACAAAGACATATATTAAAAAATGTTAGAATGAGTAGAAATATTTGGAAAGGATATAATTTAGATATAAAAGTTTTGATACAGAGAATAGATTAAAAAACACCCAAACAGGACAGCGGCCTGAGTGATACTCACTTTTGCATTGCTGAGTAATACATACAGTTTTTCTCTGAGCAGTTAACTTACCTAATCAATAGGCTCTGCAACATTTTACAGAGATACAAGAATATGTTTGCTATCATGTAATCTTTACAATAACTAACAACCTTGAGATATATTTTCATCTCCAATGCAAATACAATGAAGCTTAGAGAGATTAGGTAAAAATTCATACAAAGTCACAGAGTGGCAAAGGGCAGAGTCTGAACTCAAACCAAGATTGGTTAGGTTCCAAAACTGATATTTTTGTTCAATAAAGCAATGCAATGAGTTCCTTATTGGAAGCCCATGATGATATTTAAGTCCCTTCTAGTTCTAACATTGTATAATTTCTAAAGAAATAAGGAAGTCCTTCCCCGATATCCCTCTCACCTTGAATTATGAGTCCCGTCCAGAGGAAGGGGAGGGAGGGCAGCAAGTAAGTCTTGTCAGTGTTTCTCCTGTTCCTTGAATGTACATATGTTAATGCAAGCTTTATATTCGAAAGGGCAACCTGTCACTTGAGTAGTAAATAATACAGTTTCTATTTATTTTACAACCTGAATCCTTGCTATAAAGGGCAGGATGATTTTTTAAAATGATCAGGGCTGGTCCCAAAGCCTAGTGATTAAGGGAGCTGGATCCCACCTGGCTGATCATGAAGTTCAAATCCTGACACCAGCGACTTGAAACACATCTTCAGTACATGTGCGTGCATCTCCCATATCCCAACGGGATGGATACATGAACAGAAGGGATTGTGCTCGTAGGGAGGTGCGTTCTGCCCCTCTCTCTATCTGTTTCTCTCTTTCTGGTGGATGCATACACCTTCTGGCAATTTTGTCATAGGGTGCATGTGCTCACCATAGAGACAGAGAGAGACAGAAAGCAAGAAATCACCCCCCCTCAGAGGGATGGCTACACCATGATCCCTTCTCCTCCATTCTCCTCTCTGGATTTTGGGCACATACACACATACACCTGGTCTGAATTTCAAGCCAATGGGTCTGGTACTCAAACAGCAGTCAACTATGTGGGAGTCCAGCAATGTAACCATCATACCATCTGCTGGTCCCTTGCTCGTAATTTAGTAATTAAATTAAGCTGTGCAACCAGCAATGCACATTACTGGTCAGATGAGTATCTGACATACTACACAGCATGCATCACTTATTTATGGAAAGCATATATAATATAAAATATGGCATAATTCTTTACATAACAAAAATTTCATTGTAAGAATGACCTTGTTTCCTGAATACAGAAAAAAAGGCTCAGATGGGCTAATGACTTGTCCAAGTTCATATTGCTAGTAAGTGGCAGAATCAGCACCTAGGTAGGGGGTTGCTGATCGGGATGAATAGAAAAAGCTTCTGGGAGCCAGGTGATGGTGTACTGCTAACACAACTGGACCCATTGCAAAGGTCCCTGGTTTGCATTCCAGGGTCTCCCTAGAGATGCTAAGTTTGCACTTGCTAATCTCAGCTGGCTGAGGCTGGAGGTGGATTATGATATGAAGACACTTTTGGGGGTACCTGTCTCTGTCTCTCTCATGGAAGATATCAATAATTGTGTGTGTGTGTGTGTATGTGTTCATGAATATATATATGAAGAGGAAAAAGAAATGCTTCCTAATACTAAATGATGTAGTATCATCTATAGGAGTGGTTCCTTCCTGGCATCAGGCACTGGCCTTGTGGAAAACAATCTCTCCACAGATATGGGTTGGAGGGGTTAGTCCATTCCAGGATGACCCAAGTGCACCACTTCCACCATGCACTCCATTTCCACCACTACCACATTGCAATACACAATGATACAATCACACAATAATAGACTTCCACTCCCATGAGAATCCATTACCATCACTGATCTGACAGGAGGTGGAGTCCAGGTGGTAATGCCAGCCATGGGGAGCTGCTGCAAACACAGAGGAAGCCTCACTAGCCTGCCATCCATCTTCTGCTGGCCTGGAGAGCCAGCCCTGTCTGAGGCCTGGAGACTGGAGACCCTTGATCTATAGAACAACCAAAGACTACAATACAACCTAAAAGACTAGTAGTTAGATGTAACAAATCCTTGGTTTTAGCAATACCCAAGCACATCACTTGTATGAAAATTCAAGGTCTAAGTTGGAACAGAGTGACTAAAGGAAATGAAAAAGAATTTGTGTAAAAGGGATATTGTAACACTATAATAAGAACAATGGGCTGAGAGGTGGAGCCAGTGTAGATTTATCTGTAAAACTAAGGTGCTGGACTAAATGGATGATAATGGGATGCTCTAAAAACTAACAGCTGACCATCTGGTTCATATCCAGGTGTACCCTTGCCTTCTGGATTCTGTTCGGTTCTTCCTGAGAGGCCCTTGGGTGGATATGTGAGGAATTAGGGAAGCAAAGTTAGGGATGACCTTGACTGGCTCTCTGTGAGGTCTTTGTAGGTAGCAGTGCCCTGGCCCAAGATTACTTCTCCTGTTCAAGGCTCTCATTTTCCATGATTACCCTCCATATGGCAGTACAGGCTTACACTTAAATGCATGCACTATCCTGTGGCCCTCATATATCCTGCCTCATCCAGGTCATCAGTACCTTTGTCAATAAACTCTCCTTGCATTATCTCAGTTCAAATGCTGTGGAGCCCTGACTAATGCATTTTGGAAGATTCCTCTTGATTGTCATTGTGAACCATTTAACTGGCTTTGCTTGTCTCCATAGTAATGATTCTCAGCTTTTTACATAATGTTCAGATGGTATGCACATTATTATTTTCTTATTCATTTTTTTAATGTATTTTATTTAACTTTATTTATTTACTTATTTAATTTGACCAGGGAGAGACAGAGCATGAGAAAGAGAGAGAGAAAGAGAGAGAGAGAGAAAGTGAGAAAACAAGCCGCCGGGCCTGGGACTTGAACCACGGTTGACCATGTGGGAGTCCAGAGGCCTTAACCAGCATGCCACCTGCTGGCCCCAGTATGCACATTATTAAGAGAGGAAAGTGCTTTGAGTTTACTCCACTTTCTTAAAGGCATCTCATCCGCAATCACAAGGAAGAAAACAGTCAAAATATGTAAAATAAAGGTACAGCTTTATTTCGCTACAAGGCAGTAAGTAAACTGTCATATCAAAAGTTCAGTGCCAGCCATCTCGCACCAAATGTTCTTAAGGCAGCAACTGGCTCTCAAACCCAGTCTCTGACTACCTGGCTGCAAACGCAGACTCTGTGCGGCAGTTCTGAGACCATATACTGAGGAACCATGAGTAATGTCAATCACACTTTGAACCCCCGAATGAAAGAACAGTCAGGCTGAACGCAAAACAAAACATAGGACATCAACAACAAAGATCTCCCAAAAAAGAAGTGCAATGCATGCTTTTATAAACCAACATTAACCAAAAAAAAAGTAAAAACAAAAAAAAGAACAAAAAAACACACACAACAAATACAAAAATCTCCCAAATAAGTTTTCCAATGTATTACAAAAGGAAAAAAAAGTGTGTGTGTGTGTATACACGTGTATATGTACTCGTATATACACATATATAAATATACATGTATATACACACACACCCACATACATATATATATATATATATAAAATTTAAAAAGACTGGAATACTAGTGCATAGTCAATTACCTAACTCCAAGTTTCTCTTCTTTTATCCAAGCTCTACTGCCCCTCTGATACTAGCAGCATGTCTACAGGCTAAGAACCATAGCAGCAAAACACATTTTTCATTTGGCATTTACAAAATTAAATTACTGAATAAAAAATATAATTTTTTATAAAACTATTTCATACAGTAATAATTTTTAAAGCAAGCTAACAAAAAACTCATCAAATGGTCTAGTACAGTAAATATACCTCCAATGTTATTAACCATAAATGAGCACTTACAATTTTAAATCTCCCATAGTATTAAGCCATTTATAGTAATGCTTTCTCCGGTTTTTAAAAATCTATGCATATGTTTAGTGACTGAGAAAAGTGAAATACTGGAGTACCTTTTTGTTTATTTAAAATTAAAAAATAAACTCATCACAGGAAAAAATACTGATCTGTTGAATTCTCTAAAATACAGATAAATCATTTTATGTTTTTTTTAAAAAAATCTGCATTAAGATATTAACAACTGGCTACAATACATTACCTAATAATTTAGGTAAGACTGTTATTTATTTTTAAAAAATTCTTTTAGTTGGGTGAAATCCAATATTTCACCCAACTAAATGCACTTGGTGCTGCTCTCAACTGTTGTACCACAACAAAAATAGGCTCTTCTCCTATTCATGAAAAGTTTCATGTCGAGGAATGATATATTCAAAGTCATCTTGAAGTGTTTTGAAAACCATAATGCTTTTCTGGACACATCTCACATGACCAGAGTCCGGGCTGAGAACGCATTCACGTATTTCCGCGCCTGACCGGAAGCCGTCATCTGGTCCTCTGTCTTTCCACAGGATGCAGATTCCCAGGCACCCACACAAGGCTGAAAGGAAAAGGAGGATGACAGGAAGGTCAGACCAGGAAGCACACACAATAGCGCACAAAGACTCCCAGTCCCAGCAAGGCCAGCACAGGTCACTTGATTGTTAAATGGGCAAGTGACTGACACCAGGAGCCTTTGTCAGGTGGCATCTCAACGCTGGGAAACCCAGAAATCCAGCATTCAGTGATCTTAATGATCAGAAATTAATTATTGTTAAGAGGGAAAACTTGCTGCAAACAAGATTCATAAGCTCAAACCACTTTGTGCTTGAAAGCCTTTTGCCTTTTGGTGGATTTTATGAAGTTGATAAGAATGAGCGTAACTCCAGATACCTAAAGTGGGCTGTGGGCACTTACTCACTAAGTCAACAGGTGAGTGCTTGAGCCATGTGAGTGAAGCAGCTCATGCAGGCACTGGAATTGATTGGCACCTGCTAAACATGGTATTGTTTTCTCATCAATTAATTAGACATATCTGATGATCAGTAGAGCTTGATTTTTACAAGTTCATTTATTTCTTCCATGAGCAAGAGAGACTGAGAGAGAGACACAGAGAGGGAGAACCCCCTAAACGGTCTTTGATGCCACAATCCCTGCCCCCACCCACAGTCAGCCCTGGGTCACAGGTGCCCACGTACCTGGTATACTCAGGGAGGTCTCTGGACATGAACCCAGAACCTTATATAGGTCAACCTTGCAAAGAGTTGTGTTTTACTGCTGTGCCCACTGAAGCTTAATTTTCAAAGACATACTGCGGGATATGAGATGAGCTAATATCTCAGGAACATCTAATGCCAAGGATGGTGTTTAGTACTTCATTCAGATGATCTTATCTAAATAGCACATCACTCTGGGGGACCAGCAGTTAGCATAACGGCTATGTCACTGGATTCCCATGTAATCGACCACGGTTCGAGTCCTGGACCCGGCGGCTTAAACTCAGCTGGGTGCATGTGCGTGCGTGCCCAAGATCCCGAGAAGAGAATAGAGGAGAAGGGATTGTGGTGTGGCCATCCCCCCTGGGGGGTGATTTCTAACTTTCTGTCTCTCTGTCTTTCTGGCGAGCACACACACTCTACGAAAAAAACAAAAACAACAACAACAAAAAAAAACCCTCTCCAAAAAGAAAAAAGCACACACATTACTCTGGGAGGCAGGTTCATTCCTTATTCAGCCTAGAAAGAGGACATTCAGAGTGAAGGTAACTTGCTCAAGGCCATTCTACAAGGAAGTGGTAGAGTGGCTTTGAACCTTGGTCTGTCTTCTAACAGCCCCCGCTCTGTGTTGCCTCAAACTAAAAAATGCACTATTTATGCTCCGCTTAGTTTCCAAGGGGATTTAAGATGATAACAAAATAACTAGACGACAACAAGGGCTAAAAAGCATAGAAAGAGTCACAAGGAAACAAATGTGGGACAATAAATACCATGAAGATGGAGTGAGATTTGCACACAAAACCCTTGCTATGAGGTATAGCACCCCAGCTAAATGTAAATCCCCACTGAACTCCAAGTTCTCTACCAGCCAACACACAGAGGAAACAGAAACAGCAGATGTAAGATCTAGTACTCATAAGCTCAAAACGAAACTAGTGGTTTAGAAAAAGCACAACAATTCCTGGTATTGACATCTAAGAGGGATTATTTGCATGGGACAAAAGAATAGGAAAGGCCTCGGTCTGCAGATTTGAAGCATCCTTTAAGAGACAAAGTGAACACATGTGAAACAGGTAGAATAACGACAGTGTGTGCAGATTTGTGGTGCCACACCCAGGGGAACGGAGATGGGGCACTGAGGAACTACCGAGGTTCCAAGGAAAGGGTAAAAACAGGCAGGACTGAGGTGGAAATGTCCGCGTGTGATCCAGGAGGGAAACAGCAGGGAAGAGGCAGAGCTGCGATGTGTACGTCGCTGGTGGGGGGTTCTGGAAGGAAGAGAAGGAGCCGTCCATAGCAGGTTCGACGGTGACATTTAACAAGCCCTCACCACGTGCTACCCAGGCTTCTAGGTGTCTCACCTCACTCGACTCTCACACGAACACCAGCAGCACAGGTAAAAGTCACTGCACCTATTTTACAGACCAGGCAATTTGAAAGGAAGGGAGAATCAGGCAACATGCTCAAGGTTACTGAGCTAAGAAATAACGTGCAAGAATTTTACTCTGAAAGCAAAGAGGTTCAACATGTAACTTGAAATACTACATTAAAAGATAGGTTAGCCTACTATTTCCCAAGAACTGTAAATCACAAAAATGATCGACAGTTGTTTCGGGCTGACTTCTGACACTAAGTCACATTTCATGTTTTCCTAAGCAAAACCATTTAATGAGTATCACAGCATTCTTTGGAATAGTTCTGAAATAAATAGGGATGTGTCCCTGGATGCAAGTGTGTGGATTAAATATATGTATTTCTCTGGTGTGTATCTGTCCGTTCAAATTCCACATCCTAGTTTATTTGCTTATGTGTTTTGAGCATTTATTTAAAACACTAAATTGGCACAAGAAATCAATTTTAAATATTGATTTTTGAATCAATTAAAATGGCCGGCAAGTGGCATGGTAGTTAAGGGCACTGGACTACCATGTGGCCAATCGTAGTTCAAGTCCTGGATCTGGCAGCTTGCTTCCTCACTTTCTCTCTTTCTGCCCCTCTCTGGTTAAATTTAAATAAATAAATACTGTTAAATAAAATAATTCTTTAACAAATTTAATGCTATCTTTTCAATGATTGAGGTTGTGTTTGTAGTCACTATAGTAATGTGACATACAATAACTATTTGAGAGTAACTAGTTCAGTAGGTGGATGCCCACCATGAGGTACTATGCAGTGCTTTTTTTTTTTAAAAGAATTATTTATTTTATTTTATTTATTTTATTTTTTTTTAATTTACCATAGGGCACGTGTACTCACCAGAGAGACAGAGAAGGAAAGTGAGAAAGCAAGATGCCAGATCTGGAACTTGAACTGTGGCCAGTCAAGTGGGAGTTCAACACCTTAACCACCATACCACCTGCTGCCCCCAATGGCTGAACTATTTTATATCCCCACCAGTAGGGCACAAAGATTACAATTTCTCCACATCCTTGCCAATACTTGCTATTTTCTTTTTAAAGTTTTTTTTTTTTACGTTCAATCACTGTGTATCATTATAGCATACCAACTGAATTTTTCCATCATGAATACACTGTATATTGGTTCAGTCAAAGATATTACATACATATTATCATTAATAGATAATTTTCCATCTTATATGCAGTGCTTAGAAGCAATGATTCGTAGCTCACAGAGCCAAGAGTATGACTCTTAAAGGACAAGTGACAGGAAACAAAATGAAATATTTTAACATACTAATGATATGTATGTAAACTTAAATTACATACAGATATACACACAATAAAGGAAAAATATGCATCTTGAAAAAATGGGAGGGGAAAATGAAAATGAAGAGAAAATTGTTGAAACAGAAAGAAAGGATTGCTTCTCTCTTTTCTGATTAAGAATGTTTCTACTTATCTGGACATCAATTAAAACAGAATTAATTTACTAAATATACAAATTCAGTATCTTAAAATATAATCTTAAAACAATCTAATGCTTTCTTTTACTATACCTCCTGGTACAAGTCAAGTTCTGATTCTCTAAACTAAGTATTGTCAGCTTTATACATACAAATACACATACACATATGTATATATAATCATTTTAGAATTACTTATTTAATTAATGTTATTATTTATTATTATTATTATTTTCTTTTTTTCTAATTTTACCAGAGAGAGAGGGAAAGTGAGACAGCAAACCACCAGGTCTGGGACTCAAACCACAATTGTCATGTAAGTCCAGTGCCTTAACCACCATACCACCTGCCAGGCCCTGTATATTATTCTTTTAAGTTTATTTATGGGCCAGCTCCATAGCACAGTGGTGCTGCTCAAGAGAAGCAGGAGCCCACATGGCAACTGTGGTTTGCATGCCCAGCCCAACCCGCCTGCTGCCTGGCTACCAGTGGCATATGCACAAGTGCCAAAGGTCAGTTGGGGCTAGAGGACTGGAGGAATGGGGTTGTGGTGTGACCAGATCCTGTGGAGGGTGCTATCTCTGTCTCCATCTCTCTCTTGCATGCACGTACATGGATGCTATCATGAATAAAGAAAAAATATTTTATGTTTATTTATTTCTTCAATGAAGGAGAGATAGAGAGAGAGAGATACACAGAGAGGGGGACAGAGATACAGTGCCTCCAACAGGGTCTTGACCCTGTGATCCACTACTGATCAGTCCTCGGTCATGTACACGTGCATACTGGTGTGTTCAGAAAGATCTCCACATGCAAACTGGAAACCTACCCATGCAGGTCAGCCTCACAGAGCATCAGGCCTTGAAGCTATGCCACTATTAAGCCCCAGCTTAATATATTTCCGACTGTGCTCTTGTTAGTTTCCACATAGCTCATTGCTTTAGTCATTATTTGTCTATTCCTCTATAACCAGATATTTAAAACCAGATCAATACAAAGAAGGTACAGGGCCAGCCCAGGGCACTGGTGGTTAAGGTGGCTGGGTCCGACATGCAGACTGCACAATTCAAGTCATAGACCTGGCAGCTTGAAAAACATGCAGAGCACATATGTACATGTGCTCCAAATCCTGTAAGGAGGGAAAGAAGGGATTGTGGCATGACCATTACCGATTAGGAGGTGCTTCCTTACTCTCTTCCCACTGTACTTTGGCAAAATTACAAAAACAAAACAAAAAAGAACAAGGTACCATGTATTTTTAATTTATATTTTAAGAAAAGTTTTCAAAAACTAGTTTCTCCTAATTCAAAACAGAATTTATATAGAAGTACATTAAAATGAACAAAACAGGGCCAGGAGGTGGTGTGGTGGCTAAGGCGCTGGACTCCCACATGATTGATCATGGTTCAAGACCCAGACCTGGTGACTTACTTTCTCATTTTCTCTCTAGAAAAAATTTAAAATAATAGTTAAAAATAAAAT